GGTCCTGCATTTCACACTTCTGAACCTCTGGCCAGAGGGTAGGGCAAACAGTCTGTGCTGGGGGTGGGTGGGGACCTTGAGGATGGAGGAAGCTTTCCTACACACCCTGCGGTGGTAAATGCTCTGCAGAGAGGGCAGTGGAGTCCTGGTGATCTTCTCCGTAGTCTTTACCACTCTCTGCAGGCGCTTGCGGAGCAGTAGTGCTGCCGTACCAGACAGTGATGCAGCTGGTCAAGATGCTCTCAATGATGCTGCTGTAGAAGTTGCTGAGGATCCTAGGTGACATGCCAAACCTCCTCAGCCTCCTCAGGAAGTACAGCCGCCGTTGGGCCTTCTTGAGATCTCCTCTCCTTCCTCATGTTCACTATCATCTCCTTCGTCTTGTCCGTGTTGAGGCTGAGATTATTGTCCTTGCATCATGACACCAGACCGGCCACCTCCCTCCTGTAGGCTGCTTCGTCCCCACCAGTGATACGACCTATTACTGCGGTGTCGTCCGAACTGATTATCGCATCTTTTATTTAACGTGCTCGAGGCAAAGCCAGATTTTATGAATAAATGCGAGATTTAACTGCTGAAATGGGCATTTTACTGTGAATTTCTTGGCAGAATACATGCAGACTTGCAAACTATAGATTCAGTAGCTCAGGTTAGTGATAAGCAAACCTCTGAGATGCCACAAAAAAAGAAAAAGAGCTTTTAAGATGACTATATAAACCTTTTGATGAATCACAAACAATATGCATGTAGTATTATGTTTCAGAATGAAGACTTACTAACATGCTAATATGGAATCTTTTTCTGATATTTTTTTATTTGGGCGACATCAGACCAGATAGATTTGTTTAATGTAACAAACATCCATTTGGCTTCAAGATGTACGTTTATTAGATAGCAAAAGTTAATCACATTGTACAGTATAATGCAGTTGTGTATACTGCTGTCTTTACACTCTGAGGCCAGAATACTCTGAATCCCCCATCGGCCTTTTTGTTTGAATGATTTATGCATTCCTATTAGCTTCTCCATTTCTGGAAATATTTGCCCCATCTTTTAACTTGTGGTCGCCATGAAATATCTAATAATGTCTGGCTCAAATGATTTATATGGCAAAGATCTCTCTCCTACTTGCCTTTGGAGCAGAACAGTTCCTAAAAATCCCTTTGTAATGGAAACAAAAAGAGACTGGCATCAAGGGGAAGGAGGAGGAATCAGAGGGGGGAAAACATGAAATGATGACTCACAGCTCTGGCAGATTGCATTCAATTTAAAAACAATCCCAGAGTGATCTTGATATTTATTTCAGAGCCAAGTACCGTCCCGTGGGGGGTTTTAAGTGCTTTAAGTGAAACCAATCTCGAACCCCAGGGACACTCAGACAGAGAAGGGAAAAGGGTTTCAAACAAGGTGCCCAAAACCATCGGTGCCTTGTCTTTCTCACCTTGCACTTTGTCTCTCACTTAAAACAGCCATGTACAGTAAACCATTTGAAATCACACAACCCCCTTCATCTTTAAAAATACACCAGCCTGGATACACTTTCCATCATTTAATGACTCCCATTTTCCACACTTTACATCTTCCTTTCCAGCTACTGATGCCTTAGTTCGTCTTAGCACCTCTCTCTCTCATATGTGAGGACATGTAGGAGCCAATTAGTAAGATGTGTGTATGCCACACACACCCACACACACTCTCCCACACAGTGACAAACCTCAACTTGCTATCTTCCCATAGGCATGCCTCATTTGTCATAGTTGCAGCCAGTTTCCTCATTTAGAACAGGTAAACTGCAAACTTTACTACACCAGCTACTGTTTGTATGCCTGTGTGTGTGTGTGTGTGTGTGTGTGTGTGTGTGTGAGTGTGCTTACACAAATATATTCCTGTTCACTGGCTCGGTATTCACACCAGTTCTCTGGTTGGGCATAATACCATAATTCCTCTGGCACTGTAGCACCCTGAAAAATAACATTGCTCATTCTCCTCTCACCTCTTCTCAATCAGTCGCCCTTTTTCCCAGCATTCCTCTTACCACACACACACACACAAACGCACACATTACAACCGGTCTGGTGATGGATGTGTATTGCAGCTGCTTGTGTACAGTGAAACTCTACTGTTTATACATATCATATACGTCTGATTAGCCCTAATGAGATTAGCACTGACCTGTTATTCACCATGCATCACTGGGCTGCAGCTGTCAGGCATAGAGCAACACACTCGCGCAGATACACACTTACACAAACACACACACAGGCCAGCAGCACTGCCATCAGCATCAGAGTCAGAGTGTCAGCGGGAGAGAAAGAGAGAAACTCATTGTTTTCTTGGAGCTGAAGTCACTCTGCCCTCAGATCACAGACAAACCCATGGGGTTTGATGATTTGATAGAAGAAGGTAATTATTCATTCCATTCCATGGCTGATATTTGTGCTGCTTCACTGCACAGTCGGTGCAAGTATTTGAGTTGCAAATTCTTCTTTCAGATGAATTACTGCATTTGTAAACTTTATGGTTTTTAGCTAATAAGTCTTCACTAGTGGAGTAGAGACATATATATAATAAACAAACAATAACACTGTGGTTTTAGACTGCCAGGTTGTGTTTGGAACAACATATAAGAGGTCAGTAAGTAACTTACATATGTTATGTTACACTGTCTCAGTGTTGTTGTTTCTGCTTGTTTTAGCTCTTTTGGTTTAGTTTCTCTCATTTGTCCTTTGCTTCAGCCATTTAAGAT